AATAGTGACCTAGAAATAGTGCAGAATCTGAAATATTTCTTAATCATTGACATTTCTCCCTAAGGTTGATTTTCTCTGTAACATTGGAATATAGCCCAGGATTTGTGCAAACAGAAGGAGCACAGTTAATCAGCGTGAAGATGCTTCGATTTCGTGTTTTACTATCTGCCAAACCTTCTCATGTCTGCTTCAAACTAATATCATCAAAGGTCAGTCTGAGTTGCGTCAGCAGCACACACGGTCACATCTCTGCAAGAAACAGATGGTTTACCAGTAAATATTTTCATGTGTCATTTTGCCACAATCAAATCCAATGCCAGAAGTCAGTCAGCCAGTCTTTTAAAGGAATAATCCATGTCACTCATCTCTTTCCAAATGTGCAGGCTTTTATTTTCTCAGTGGAACACACACACAAAAAAAGATCTTTTAAAGAACCATTTCTGTCCAATGAAAGTTTGTCTGTCCAATCAGTGTTCCTAAAAGAACACTGATTGGACCTCATTGATGTTCATTGCATGGACAATAAAAAGAGATATAAAAAAAAAAAATGATGATAGAATTTTCCGTTTGATTTTTTTTTTTTTTTTATTTTTTTTTTTTTCTATTTTTTATTTATTATTATTATTATTTTTGTTTTTGTTTTTTTGTTTACCTTTTCTGAAAGAAATGAGTGATGCCTGCCCATCCAAAACAATAGAATTTTCAGTTTTGGGTGAACGATCCCGTAAAATCAGTGAGCTTGCTCCTAGATGAGACTTTTTTTGTGGTGTCTTGAGTCACCCATCTTAGTTAATCATTATATGTTATGTGGTATATACAATGCCGTTCAAAAGTTCAGTAAGATTTTTATTACTTTTTAAAGAAGTCTCTTATGCTCATCATGGCTGCATTTATTTGATCAAAAATACAAAAACAAACAATAAAACAGTAATATTGTGATATATTATTACAATTTAAAATAACAGTGTTCTATTTTAAAATACTTTAAAATATAATTTATTGCTGTGATCAAAGCTGAATTTTCAGTCTTCAGTGTCACAAGATCCTTCAGTAATCATTCTAATATGATGATTTAATAACAGTTTTTGCTGCTTAATATTATTATTTTTTGAACCTGTGATACCTATTTCGGGAATATGTATATAGGCAAATTGTTGTATATTTACAATAAAATGTTATTTCATTATTTTAATTAATATATTATTTATAAAATGTTGGCAGAATGTTTTCCTGCCTTGTTTTAAGCATAAACCTCACTGTGTTTTGTTAGATTTATGGTTAAAGAAATTGGCAAGATATATTCTGTGACAAGTCCTAATAAGTTATACAATTTTGATTCAAAGTAATTTTTGTTTAAGGATATTTAGATCTTTTACTGGGAATTACTAAAAATCAAAAATAATAAAAACTAACATATAGAAATTTTCCCTCAAAGTGTTTCCTTTAGTTAAGCATGGATTATTAAGGGTAACTTAATGAGGTGTTACCATTATTTACCATTATTTAGAATGTTACTGTACCTATTTTACCAATAATGTCTTCAGCAGTGTTTTCTGAGATAAATAAACTAAGTAAACCTAACTGATGTTATATTTACAATAAAATATGTTATTTCATTATTTTAATTAATATATTATTTATAAAATGTTGGCAGAATGTTTTCCTGCCTTGTTTTAAGCATAAACCTCACTGTGTTTTGTTAGATTTATGGTTAAAGAAATTGGCAAGATATATTCTGTGACAAGTCCTAATAAGTTATACAATTTTGATTCAAAGTAATTTTTGTTTAAGGATATTTAGATCTTTTACTGGGAATTACTAAAAATCAAAAATAATAAAAACTAACATATAGAAATTTTCCCTCAAAGTGTTTCCTTTAGTTAAGCATGGATTATTAAGGGTAACTTAATGAGGTGTTACCATTATTTACCATTATTTAGAATGTTACTGTACCTATTTTACCAATAATGTCTTCAGCAGTGTTTTCTGAGATAAATAAACTAAGTAAACCTAACTGATGTTGTCTACATACAGTACGCTGCGTTTAAAATGTCTTCTTGTAATAAAACAGTGGCTGAGTGCTCAGTAGCGCACACACACACACACACACACACACACACACACCAGATGTGTGTGTATTGTCACTAATGCCTTAGCTATCATGCTTGCACAACCTTTTTCTGAGTCTGATAGAGTGCGACGGCCTTTAGTAGTGATTACCCATGATTCAATAAAACTGTCATTACTGCATTAAACCTTTATTTTGCATCTGTTAATGTGTTTGGATCCTGCTCTTTGAAACGGATGCCAGTGTGTCGACTGTAGTGATGTGGTCCATTAACTTTCATTCCATACCAAATTATACCTCTGAATCTCTACAAGGGAAACCCCTTGAGTTTAGCCTAAAGGATTTTGAATTGTTTTAATAACTTCTCTCTGCCATATTTTACTGGGCGTCATTTAAAAATCCACCAGAAAATGGAGTAAATTAGATGTTTTCTTTTTTCATATGTCCTTTAGGGCCTTCAGTGCTTCAGGGAGGAAGGGTGAGCTCCAGTACCTTCCAGCGTTTTCTCATGAACATGCCAGAACTTGTTTTAATGAGATCCACTGTGAACTAAAGCTTTTAAACTGCTGCTGATTAAGATTGATTGTGAAATGACATCCTTCTCCATAGCCCGGGATTAAGGTTTAATTGTAGTTGCGAAGTACTTCAAATGTATCTCTGACTCTTTGTACAGTTAAAAATGCGACGCAAACATTTACTGTTGCCATAATTTGTAATTTGCGATGAGTTGGCATGTGTCTGCGGTATCACTTTGCTTTGCTTTTTGTGGGGCAGAAAAGCTTACATATACGAAATAATGTGCTTTCTCCACAACACACACTATATACTGTATGTGTTTGCGTGTGTTATATGTTAATATTTATTGATTTAAAAAAAAAATTATATTTATTTTATTTATATAATTATTTTGATTTTTAAATGTATTTATTGTTTTTGTGTTTTTTTTATTTTAATAAAAAATTTTTTTATAATATTTAAATTTTCAAATCTTTTATTTTTAAATGTATGTGTTTGGTTTTATGCATTTATTATATTGTATTTATATAATTACATTTTCAAATGTATTTCCTTTTTTGTTAGTGCCATTATAAATCACAGACTTCACCTTTTGTTTTAAAATATTTGTCTAAAAATGTTTTTTTTTTTTTTCATTATGAGATTTATTAATATTATGTACACATAAAATAAGATGATAAATTTAAAAAAACCTGTGTATATATATATATGTATTTATTTTTTTATATTTTGGTGCTTATGAAACATTTCTTATTATCAAAGCTGAAAACAGTTTTGCTGCTTAATATTAATATCAGCTTTGCCGTCACAATAATAATTTACATAAAAATGTATTTATTATTTTTTATTATTTTTGTGTTTCATTCACATTACATGAGAGTTGAGCAGTATGTACCAGTGAATTTTCATTAATTTGTTTCCGTTTATGTATGTATGTGTCTGTCTGTATGTATGTATATATGTGTTTATTTCATTATTGAATTTGTAAATTATATATCTATTATTCTGTCACCAGATACAAGTGCAAAACAACATGAAATTTTTATGCTTATTATTTAATTTTATATTGATTTTATATTTATTTGTGTTTATATATTTATTTTGATCAACATATACTTCCCTTCTGTGTAAATTTTATGTGATCTGTGTTTCACCAGCGGCTCCAGGCTCTAGCACTAAAAATGTTTTCACACGGCTGCTGAAAGTGGCTCAGCATTACCTTTTGGAACCGGGGAAGTACAGTGCGCCTGCCAGGTCTTCTCCTGCCAAGAGGAGCCCTGCCCTCGGCCGTCTCCCCAAAACCAGAATCTCCACCTCCTTCACTCAGGCGCAGGTACATCTCATGTTATCACCAATTTATGACCTGCATAATTTGAAACCGAAAATGACAATGTGTTAGCAGCAACTCCGCTGTTGATATCAGATATCGATATCAGAGAGAAGATAAACTTGACACATTTTTTGCTGTGCTGTGCATTTGTCCCATTCATATTTATTCTGAGAATGCATGTGATTCAGGGTCGAACCAGGAGGAGCAGTAGCAGGCGTTCCCAAAATTCCACTCTGGGTGGGGTCAAGAAGGAGCAGCTCCCTTCTCAAGATTCTGATGGAGGTGCTGCTGAAGACAGGTGTGTGAAAGAAATAAAGAAAAAATGCTAAACAATCTGGCCCCTTTTGTGTTTGAACAGGTTTAGTTAATTGGTACAACATTTTAATTGACTACAATACCTGTGCCTCATTGAATGAACTGTTAATATAATACACTCAAACTTTTGGAAGTATCCCATTAAACTTTAAGTTTTCATTATTTACTCACCTTCATATTGTTCCAAATCTCTATGACTGTCTTTTTTCTGTGAAACACAAAAAACCTGGAGTGCCACTTAAAAATAAAGAAATAATTTCCAGTGTATTAATTAAAAAATGTAAGTAAATACATAGATTACTATTCAAATTTATAAATAAATAGACATTTGAAATCTATTTTTATTATTTTTATTTACTTATTATTTTTTATTTTATTTATATTGGAATAATCCTTATATTAAATGCAATAAAGGTATTCAAGTAATAACAAAAATATCCTGATATCCATCCGCTTATAGAGTGTTTCTGAGAGATTTAGTGATGCCCAGTTTGTGAACGAATTGCACAATTCTTATAAACAACATTAATGATGCTTAAATAGTGCTTTTGCATCCTTTTTAAAGCCTGACAGCTGTAGTCCTCATTCATTGCAGTTGCATGTAAAAGAGCAGCCAGCACATTCTTTGAAATATCTTATTTTTTTCCACAGAAGAAATAAAGTCATACAGGTTTGAAACAAGATTAGGAAGTAAATGATGAATAAACAATAAAATAATTTTTATTTTTGGGTGAACTATCCTTTTAGCAGCGTTCAAGTAGTTAAATACAGGTGGATGGCACTAATCAGGTCCTTGCTTTTGTTTTTTTTTCTTCATCACAGAGTGACATAATTTATGGCTTTGTACTTATGTCTAAGCAAGAATGAGTCTTGTTCTGGAGCTTTAACTGTCTGAGAAAATGCTTCTGGCTAGTTGAGATACTTTTGCGTGTCTGCTCACCTGTTTGCATGTGTGTGTATCTGATTATCTTTGTGCAGGAAATTCAAGTTCACATGCACGTCATTGCATTTTATTATGAGAGCTTGTGTTCATACAGAACATTGCTGAGATGCCTAGATATAGAGCACACTTAAGGTTGGCAGGTGTCTTTTGTAATTTGTTGCTTTAGATATTTAGGTTGAGAATAGTTGAGTATTCCGTAGATCTACAAGGATTGAAATGAAAATGTGCGGTTAAAATTATACTGTAAATTCCAACGTTTGAACACACTGGTTGTGTTTCACAGACCTTTCTCCTAATAAAAGTTGGAAAACCTGCCAACATACCTGTCATTCCCAGCAGCTCCTGCATTAGTGTCAGTAGAATGAAATTCTTGAGACGAATAGGGTCACCGAGGGTCAGCGTGTGGATTTTTCGTGTGGAGGAAATAAGGAGGCTGTTTCTCTGTGTGTGTATCCAAACCCCCAGCTCAGGTTTTCAACACTTCATCCTGATCCCAGAAAACCAAGTGTAAATGCCCTAGAGCATAGCCTGCGTTGAAATGCAAACATTCATTGGCCTTGTGAGAAATACACATTTTACTGATGGGTTGCAGAGTCATGGAGGCACTCCATGGGATTTGAGGGTTTTTTATGGCAGCCAGAAAATCCAAATTTGCATAAATATGGTATCAGAAATGACACCGAAAAACTCAAAGCTTTGCACAAAAGATCATGATACTCTGGAATAGTATTATTATTCATCATGTAGGTAGCTAAAGCTAGTTGTTCTGCACTGCAAAAAAAATTAATTAATTTTAATTAATTTAATTAAAAAATGGCATAAGGTATTTAAACTTCTTTTCACTTACTATATTTTTAATTAAGCAGTGTTGTTTGTTACTGTTAACTAATACTATTACATTTAAAAAATAAATAAAGCTTAAATAGAAATATTAGATAAACTTGAACTTGCATAAAAAATTAGAAATGTTGGCTTAAGCAACGAATTGAAATAAAATAAATTGAAATAGAAATAAGTTGAAATAGTAAAATGCTAATAAATTTAACAAATAAAAAAATTCAAGCTAAATACAAATATTAAAAAATAAAACACATAAAACTGACAATCACAACAAAATGATTAAAGCTTAAATAAAAATGAAAACTGAAAAAATAAAAATGAAAGCTAATTAATATATAT